GTGGGCTGGTTGTACACCCTGGACAAGGCCGTATCTGCCGGTTGCATGACTGCGCAAACGCAAAGACCGCTGAATGTGGAAGATGCCAAGTAAGTCCAAAAGGAATCCGGTCTACCAGCAAGCACCAAGAGCGGATTCCAAGAGAAGGTATTCTCCGGTTTGAGATTGACCAAGTAGGACTTTGCATAGTTGTAGGACGGCAACTGAACTGAGCTTCCCATCGCTGTCCTCAAAATCGCCGCGTCCATGCCCCGCGCCAGACCTCTCAAACCGTCGGTCCGAACGATGCTGCGCAGACCGTCGAGCGTGCTGCTGTAGTGGTAGCTGCTCTTGCCGATCTTGATGAACGGGCTGTATGCTTGCATGCGCGCCTTGACCAAAAACAGTGGATTGCCCAGGATTGCTGGGAAGCAAGATGCGACTCGATCCAATCAGCAGAGTTGGCCACAGGAGCACCGCAGTCGATGCGCTGCTGCGCATCACAGCCTCACCTCCAACGATGCCGGAAGAAGCTCCAGCAGCAAGAGCAGCCAGCGCATGCACCTCGCTGGCATCCTTGCCAAGCGCAGCATTGTACGCCTTTCGAAAAGGTTCGTAGAAACCCAATCGGGAGCCGTTCAAGCAGACTTGATAACCCAGCGCTGATGTCAGTCCTCTCTGCACTCCTCTGACCCCCTCCAGTCTCAGCGTCTTTGCGAAACAGTCCAGCGCACCGCTGAACAATCTAGGTGGTGCTGCTTGACCTGGTGCTGTCTTGGCTAGCAGCTCTCCTTGCAGCTGCATTCGCGTCTTGACCACCTCGGACGGGTTTGAGCTGAGCATTCGAGGTTGAGTGGGTCGGTATCGTGCACAAGCCACGTCTTGCACGCCAAGAGCGTCGTGTAACTCACAAGAGCACTGCCGTCATGGCAGCTACCGACCCCACGCCAAACATTTCAGCCATCGACACATTTGCGTTTGAAGTCATCCTGGTATCGTCTGATGTCGAAGCAAGCAGAAAGAAGAACGCGATGAGGCGTCGATGTCGGTGGAGGAGAGAGCTGGAAGCGCGAGAGATGAAGAGCGAGCCCCGCCCGCTGTTTGTGGCTGCTAATCACAATGTTTCGTGCGCCTCGACTGGTTGATTGTCGCTCCTACTTCGTTCAGATGGATGGCTATGGGATGATGGAGTCTGAGTGCAATCACGATTTGAGATTCGCATTCAAGTTTGAAGTGTCGCATGTCGTCCATCACACTTTTGACTGGTGACTCTAAACCCAACAAGAACAGCTCACTCAAGACTCGAGACTGAAGACTGGCTCTGGCTCTTTTGATCAATCCGAATCCCACTCCACTCACTCACGCACTGCCACGGCTCGTCTAGTCGTCTGTCTCATGCTGCAGCTTCGCGAGAAGAAACCGGCCGAAGTCGCTCATCCGCCGATCCGCGCTTTGATGCGGTCAATTCGTGATTGTGATTCAATCCAAACACAAATCGTGCAAATCCTGAATTTGAATCAGAATGCCCCGCGCCGCTTCCAAACGGCTGGCTAAATAAATGCACGTACACTGCTGATGCTGCCGCAATTTTGAATGCAGCAGGATGTGGAGAAGCTCCGTCAAACATACAATCGTGAATATAAGCAGCGGCCCACCCACACGTTGGGGGCCAGCAGCTGATTGCATGCTTCTCCTCTTCTCGTCCGATAAATCACGAATGCTGTGCGTTGCATGCACGCGCAGCAGCGATTCGTGATCAAGAGTATCGTGGTGGTGGTGATGCGCTTGTCCCATGCATTGTGATTCGTGATTCAGGATTGCAGGAGGTCCCGATTGGATGGACGTGCCCTCGCCCAATCATTACGACTGTGACTACAACCTTTTCCATCGAGTTGCCCGCAGAGCTATGGTCGGTCGGTGGCTGTATCTGCACCATACATGTGCTTGTATCTTCAGAAAGATTGACACCTCACCCGCTCTCTGAGCTAATCGGCGTGCACCTGACATCACCATGACGCACCTCGATCTCGCACCCAGCACATCATCGTCATCTGCCTTGCAGGTCTCCGCACCGCGCAACGTCCGACAGGTCTTCTTGGCAGAGTTTGACGAGCGTAAAGGCCCGACCATCGTCTTTGCCCATCCTTTGCCAGCTCCAAACCTCGAATGGAGGTCTCTTCCATCCGGCTCTCACGCGCTCGAGCATCCAGACATCATATCCTTCCTGACCGAAAATGAGGATGAACACAGTGTAGTCGCTGCCGTCGTGAGGAGTCGGAGTACAGCAGGAGAAGAGGGTGCGGAATCACGGGGAAATAGGGTCATCACTGTTGGTGCTGTCCTGGCTTGTGCAGACTCGACGCCGGCATCGCATCACTTTGCCTCGACGCTGCATACCGCAGCGCTTACCCAACTTGCTGAACGCCTCTCATACACGCCCAACGACACTGCGGCGCTTCGAGAGTGGCAGACAAATCTGGCGCAGAGCGATTCGGGTACGTCAGCAGACTCGGAGGCTAGGAAGGCGGCGGGCGATGCGCGACGACTGCGCTCCCCGAATGATAGTCTGCTCTCGCTACCTTCGCTGTCATCCGCCCTCGGCCCTCTCCTACCCGTTGTACTGAAGAGGTGCTTGACGCCGCACCATCGGCTCTTGATTTTCTCTCCCGCCGGTGTGCCAACATCCAGAGCACTCACTATTCATTCCGCTCTGGCCGAGCTGGCTCATGCAGCTGGTGCTTTTCCCCTGGCTCGCGGACTGCTCGCACTTCCAGACTTGGGCAAGCTCATGACGGAGCAAAGTAGAGAGGGAGGATGGATTGCGGTCACGCCGGATGCTCTCTTTCTCGAAAAGCCGCAGCTTTCTGACACCATACTGGACTTGAGACCCTTGGCTACGGGCTCAGAAGCATCTAGCAACTTGCCGACGTTGCAATTGACAGCGAATTTACCACCAGCGGCCGGGCGGACCGTACCCAACTTCAGACTTAGCAAAGCGGTCTGGGGAGCGGCAGATTTTGCAATTTGGAGGAACATGGAAGATGCAAGCATACTGCGTGCGCGAAAGAAGAGGCGACGCCCTTCAGAAGATCGACGAGGCGAGGCAGGCTTGCGCGGTCAGTTGGCCCAAAGCTCCAACAGGCAGGTGGCAGCACCTGCAGATGCGAGCCGCACAAGTCTGATCGTCGCCCTCATCAGGTACTTTCTTGCAGGTTGGCTCTGGTTCCCACTTCTCGGTGCGGGCTCCGCTTACGGCACACCTGCATATGGCTGGGTCCCCACCAACGTCCGGAGCGATGGAGGCGCAATCGGGAGCGTGATGCTGCTAGAAGATGATGATGCGCAGCATAGCGACTCGAGCGGCTCGGATACTACAGGCTCGGCCGAACATGTGGCTCCAGCGGCGACGCGTGCGCATAAGAGCCTCTCGACCAGCACTCAAGCGGACTCGTCTGCTTCGTCCGGTCTCAGAGCAAGAAACGCGGGTCGCGACCGCTCGGGCTCTAGCATATCGAGCAGTAGCAGAGCCTTCGAGGAGGATGAAGATCCACTAATTGCAGCGGCAGGCGGTAGCCTCGCATCGCGACGACGGCGATCTGTCGTCAACGTAGGCGACATTTTTAGCGCGCAAAGCGCATCCCAAAGCGGTATACTTCGGGACGGTCAACCTGCTCAAGCTCGGCTCGCTGACGCCCTATTTCAGGAGTGGTCATCGTGGGCTCAAAGCGTGCGCCAGGATGTGCTGGCAAAAGTTCGGGAGATGAGAGATGTTCGACCTGCGCCACCGCTGCATGAGATTGGTCACCGGGTGATGAGGGAGATGGACCTGAGTGCGAGGTCAGACTGGGATGTGGATCTGGTCGTCAAGCTGGCAGAGAGGGAGGGGCTGAAGCTGCAGATTCGAAGACCATGGGGGTGGAGTTTTGGATTCTTCTGAGTGCCTCCAGCTGGTGGGTAAGCGAAGGTCACAAGGCTGAACAAGATCTCACTTGTACCCTCGAGGCTTGCGAGGCGTGCAGGCTTCCTGTGTCCGCGTTTACGAGACTCGTCCTCCTAGAGATTATTGTGCCGCACTGCTACCCAATATGACATACCCTTTCGCGCGCATTGACCAAAAATTTCACCTCTTGGCTGTCACACCATATCGCAACGAAGCCATGTGAACGTGTCACAGGATAGCCTACGCCACGTTGCGAGACCGTCTACTTTGAGGGAAGTTGTCCGTGTGGTTTTGAAGGCAAATCGGACGATGGCTCAGCGCCATCTTGAATTCACGCCGATGATGCAGGTTTGGGGGCTTGATGACCCTTGGCGCGAGCAGATTGCGCGACCGTGACCGACCGGTTGCCCCGCCGATGCGTGCGGTGTGGCTGTGGATGATTGCATGCACGAACGCTCAGACCATTCAATCAGGTTCGTGATTCGAAGCCAGCCTGCTGGCTGTGCTCGCGACTTTCTCGTATGGCAGAAAGGGTTTCCACCATCGACAACATTCACAAACGTGTCCATTGACTCCATCATCCTCAGCATCCAACGTTTCGAGGAAGTC